GAAAGGCAGGAAATCAGCCTTTTCCCCTCAACCAACTACAAAGACTAAATAGAAAAAAAAAATTCTTAAACGTCACACAACTTTGCTGAGGGGTCATGATTAGCCTTCTTTCAAAACTATCCACTGGACTTTTGTCACTTGAGGCACATGGTTGTCACATACGTTTGCTACGAGAGGATCTGAAAGGCAGACTTCATGCTTTTCCCAGTTTTGCGGAGGGAAACCTCCGATTAAACACTCGAATCTTTCAAGCTCATGTGAACTATGGGCTTCTCAAGAAGGTGTAGAGAACAATGTCAACAGGTGTAACACACCTGGCACTGAGGCTCGAACTCCATCTGCTTCTTCCCACCAAGTAGTCACAGAAGTCAGGCTCGGGCTTCCACGTGGTGTTCACGTCAAAGACTCAGAAAGAGAGAGGGAGGAGACTCAGAACCCAGTCCCAGCTCTGGGACTTGGTCTTGGAGTAACAGTCATTCACCCTTTCTGTACCTCAGTTTCCTCCTCTATAAAAACAGGTGTGATACTTATCAAATCCCAACTATTGTGTGGCAGGAACGCATATAGGACAGCACCCAGCTCTGTGGGACTTAAGGTTAGAGGCAGACTCTCACAAGGAAACTGACAATTATGGCAGGATTAGAAAATTGTGCTGGGGGACTCAGTGGGAACAACTACGGTGTGTACACTACTACCTAAATGTCACGAGTTTTACTGAGGAAGACCTGTGGTCGCAACGGCCTAGGCCTATTCGGTCAGCTAAGCCCCAAAGACTTAACTTTGACTTTCTAAATGGCTTCTCCTATAGGCACCCCCAGGATGTACAATCAAAGAGTGGTATTGTTTACTTAGCACCAGCTATGTGATAATATTTATAAAGGATTTGTAGCTTCTAAGACCTTTAGTTTTTCTCAACTGCATTAAGTTTTGAGCAAAGATTTGGTGTTTCCATGCTAGATGAATTATATGGTAAAGGTAGATTTGCTACCTTAAGTTTCTCTTTTTAAAAGTCAATGTTTAAAATGGGATAAGACTGTAACTGATAGTCTGGGCACTTTATGCCCAACAGATGATGGGTATTTTGTGACTGTAAAGTTCTCTATTTCTAAGAATGTACCATTGTGAAATCAATCCCTAACGAAAGGAAAGTTGCTGGAGGCTCAGGCTCATATATTCTTTACCGGAAAAAAAAAAAAAAAAAAAAAATCCCTGCCTTTGACAATTTCACTGGGAAATTGACTTGAGTAGGAACCAGTTATCTGAGAGTGACTAGCTCCTATAATATTTATATAGCTCGTCTCATCTAGGACAGCTCTTTACATAACAGCACCTGCATGTACTTCAATAAATTGTTCTAGATTGAATACAAGAACTACTGCTCCAATTGGGATTAGACAGTGAAGTGTAACAGGATCCTTTGCTGAGAAGAAAGACATTTCTCTCTTTAGTACTTACCATATTGGAGACTAAAAATACTGCCAGAGTCCTCTACTATCATTCCTGACTTTGGTTTACTTCATTCTCACTGATTTCATAAGAACAAAACATTAACCAGTGTACAGAAATGAATAACTGACATATAAGGTAGGGATCTGAGCAAAAGCATAAATAAATAAAAAATATGTTTCCATGGAATTATTGCTGCAGTGTAATCTTTAAAAACTATTTTATGAAGTCAATTTCATGAGAAATGTAAAATTCTCAGGATACACTGTGAAAAGTTCCTGATATTCTTCAAAATTATGTGTATATTGGACAGAAAGAAAAACTAACATAAATGTCTCCTGAATTTATTTTTGATTTGAAAGTCACTGTATTTTGAATATCTTGAGTTTATACTAGACATGTAAATGTGTGCTGTATCACATTATATCCCATTATTTATGGGAGCTTTTAAATTTCTATGGCATTATTTATTTTTGAATCAGTCACAGCTTCCCTACAAGTGGCAAAAAAGATTCTCAGACTCTGGAGGGGAAGCTGGTAACATACTGTAGTAGAAGGTAAAGGAACATGAAACACCGTATGTTCGGAAGTACCTCTCTGCAGCAGACCTGGCATGGATCAATGCATAAGACAGTACAAGGAATTTTAAATGCACCATGGAGTCGTTCTATTTAGAAATGAAAGATCAATTTCCACGACTTTGTGTAGAATTGAGTGTTTCTGTTGGAGGTGATTTCTAATTTGATTCCACTATGGTCTGAGAAGATACACAGTATAATTTCTATTTTTTTTAATTTGTTGAGACACATTGTGTGGCCTAAGATGTGATCAGCCTTAGAGAACGTTCCATGTGCTGATGAGATGAATGTATACTCAGTAGTTTTTGGGTAAAACGTTCTGTAAATGTCTGGTATGTTCATTTGTTCTAGAGTCCCATTTAAGTACAGTGTTTGTTTATTTTCTGCTTGGAGGATCTGTCCAGTTCTGTGAGTGGGGTGTTGAAGTCCCCAGAAATTACGATGTTGCTGTTTATCACTTTGTTTAGCTCTAGTACGGTTTGCTCTATGAATCTGGGTACACCTGTGTTGGATGCATAAATATTTAGGATTGTTACATCTTCTTGATGATTTCTTCCCTTTACCATTATATAATGACTGTGTTTGTCTTTCTTTACTACTACTGATTTGAGGTCTATGTTATCTGATAAGAGAACAGCTACACCTGCTTTCTTCTGATTTCCATTTGCATGGAATATTGTTCTCTATTCCTTCACCTTGAGTCTGAATGAGCCCTTGTGGGTTAGATGTGTTTCCTGTAGACAGCAGACACTTGGCTTGTATTTTTTTATCCATTCAGTCAGCCTATGTCTCTTGAGTGGGGAATTCGAGCCATTCATGTTTATTGAAAGAACTGGTAAGTAGGGTGGATTTCTGTTATCCTGTTGGGTAGAACCTTGTTGCTTTATCTCTTGAGCCATTATTTTATACGGGCTCTGAATTTTAGCTTTTGGGTGATTTTAAGTACATAATTGGTAACTTGGATCACACATATGTACATAAAAAAATATCATCTTTTAAAATTAAATACCAAAAAATATTTTCCCGATGGCTTTTAAAGAAATCATGTCCTGTGTCAACAAATGTGCTATCTTTCCATTGTTGGTGAAGCACTATAGTCAGGTCCTCAGCCTAAAGAAACAGGAAGAACATAGGCTACATCGTAAACATTCAGATTAGAATCTTCTCTTCCTACTCAGGCTGTCTCCTTTAAAAGAGACAAATGGAGAAAGTGGAGAGGAAATGGCATTAATATCCACTCGTATGACTGTCAGCTCTGCGGAGGGCACAAAATGGTCCAATTCCACAGGGAGTCATCAACATTTGTCCCTAAACACTCCAATTATGTACCAGATGGTTTTATTCAGTATATGCTTGGACCGTAACAAGGTCAGACCTAAGGACTGCCATCCAAACTCCATGAGCCCATAATCAAAGCTTTGCCTCTAACATATAAGAAAACCTGGGTTTTTAATCATATTTTAAAAAATTACAAATTCTCCTGTCTCTGTTCCTAGCATAGCCCATATTTCTAATCTCTCCTTTCTTCAACCACATGTGCTATACTGATAGTTCTAATTAGAGCTTTTATATATGTATCAAGCACCTACTACGCCCCAGCAGTTTGAAAATGGAGATTTGGGGAAGAGGTGGTGAGGACCTGTTACATTCTCAAATATGAGCCATGTCATAAGAAGAAACAGGAAATAAAGATGACTTGTGTGAACAAGGACAAACGATGAATATGGAAATGAGCCAAGGCATGTTTATATTCACTTCCAGAAGGAGAAGCCTGCTTTTGCCATGAAGGGACCTTGTCTTAATACCATGTTATCTTTGAAGGCTCAGTAAATACAATTGAATTGGATTTTGCTAAGACATGTGGCCACATATTCTACAGGTACACTCTGACCATCCTCAACAACCACCTAGCATGAAGAAACAATGTTAATCTTATCTTGTTTTTAAAGTGAGTTTAGAATACTTACAACAGGAAACAGAAATACAAGTTTTCAAATAAAGGAGTATTTCTTTAATTTGGATATGTCTCCTTAGGGATAAATTGTCCAGAAAATGACAAACTGTACTGGACATAGGTGCTTGTAGAACACCTAGAGTTTAGTGGACTTAGGGTAAATCCAAAAAGTTTAGCTGCCATTTCCAATCTTTAATTCTTACCAGAATCAATTATTTCTTTTGTACAGATGTGGGTTGATCACCAACATCGTTTCAAGGTTTGGAAATATGAATATCTGATGAATATTTCAACTTGAAATTATTAGAAATGTCATTTTCTTCCTCTCAATCGCAAAAGACTAATCCCTTAAATGGTCACCATCTCTGAGCAATGCATTAACAAATAGCTGATTTGATAAAGACTAAATATGGGGTCTAGTATGCCTGGCTGAAAACATGGCAACAAATGCTAAAGTTGCTCTCACTACAAACATGAATATAGACAGTAAAACCCTCAGGGAAAATCAGATGTTCTCCTTTCTAGTTCTATACTATCTTTGATTAATCATGAAATGCATCACTGATCTTCACTCACAGACTTTCTGTTGAGCCTTAGCTTTGGTTGGAACTGTGCTGAATTCTAAGGCCCAGGAGAAAATACAGGGTGGGAGAGGAGGGAAGGGGGTAGTTTCCTTTATCAGATTTCCATAGAGCACACTGTTTAACTTCTAGCTAAATGAGGAATGTTGAGCATAATGCTGAGCACACAAGGGTATCTGCCCCATATTCGCACTACGGACATGCCCAGGCTTTTCTTCTACAGGAGCTAAAAATGCAGGGCAAAGAGGCAACATAAGGTCCATACAAGGAAACAAAAGAACTGAAAAGAATCTTAAGGCAATCCTTAAAAACAACAACAACAAAAAAAAACTCACACAAAGAGAAATAATCTTTAATGTCTAGCAAGTCCAATAAAACAAATTTATAAGTCAGACAAGAATCAACTTAGCAATACTTGGGAATTTCTAGGTTAGTTCATTAAAAAAAAAAAAAAAATCAAGAAAAAATTTACCCAGCCTATGTTAAGAGTAACAGTGACTATGAGATGGCTTTGGCATTAAAGAAAAAAAAAAAACAAAAAAAACCCCACATGTTTTGGAATAAGAAGGTCTCGGTTTAAAGTCCCTGTTCTAAACCAAGTTGACCTTTTTGGGTCTAAATTCCCAAACATGAAATGGAGATCAATATGAATTCTTCTATTGTAGTAGGGTCGTTGCAAACAATACATGGGCAAGAAATACATCCATGGTAAGCCACAATGCAAATGATGATTAGTACTGTCATCATTGTAACCCACTGCATCTTCAGCAACAAAGGATTTTAACCAGATATTGAAAGGCAGGAGGAGTGATTTATAATAGAATCTCTTTCCTTCTCATAACTAGATTGTTCAGTTTTGTTCCTTATAAAAGAGTTTCTAACAAATTACAAAGGTTCATCTTCCAGGAGAGGTTAGATGGCGGTGGTTTGGAAAGTGGAGGGGCTGAAGGGTGTTGGAGGTAAACTAGAAAAATCAGAGGAGGTAGAGAGATTATAAGTATCTTCTCTGAAGGGGAGTGCTATAATACAGATTGAGGGAGAGACTTGTTTTGTGCTGCTACTGAGGGTGCCATGGAAGGGCAGATTCTGCAGATGCAGATCACAGGAAGGGAGAATATGGTCTAACAATAAGGGCATTTCCCAATAAAAAATTGCTTCCGAGGCAAAAAGTGAGCAGCCCACCCATGGAGGTATTCAGAGACTGAATTACAAAGTTGAACTTGGTCATTTTAAAGGTCCTGGGATGTTTATTCCTCCTAGTACCTGAATGTTTCCATTAAGGAGAAGTCCAAGTTTTATCGAAGTCTTATCTTCAAGAGAGCCTTTGGAAGCTTGACATAATATAATGTATTTATTGTAAATTAAATTACTAGCCCCAATTCTTCCCTCCTCTGTAGTAGGAGCACATATCCATAGTCTTGCCATGATCTCTTGGTGGATGGAGTGTACTTCCGTGCCTCTTGACTTCGGGCTTGGTTGTGCGCCTTACGCTGGCCAGTGGATGTTAGCAGACATGAGGCAGGCAGAGGCTTACAGCGTTGCCCATCATGCTTCTGTCACTACTATGACAGCTACTGACCTTTCAGCACAGACCCAAAATGAACATGTGGAGCAGACCGACTTTGGCTAAGCTGCAGATGACCTGGAGCCTACAGAAGAGTCCCTTCAACCTACATGCAAACCAGCAGTATGAAATAAAAGCTCTTTTTTTTATATGCCAGTCAAATTTGGGGCGCTGTTTATTATTTGGCAATAGCTAATTGATACAACATCTGTCACAGCAGATATACTAAGGAATGAGGCAGAGTTGTCTAAGCTACATACTGGAGATTGTGTAACTAAATTAACAAAATGACCTCATTAAAAGCTGGTCTATCCAATAAGCCTGTTTCTTTGCCCATCAAAGCAGCATTAATAAAAGTGGCTCTAATCTATTTATCATACAAAGCTTTAAATCATCTGGGAAAGAGAATGTAAGCAAAAATTACTGTAATTACTACTGCTGGAAGGCTTAAGTATTTTCTTCCAAAGGGATGCACGCACATTTTTTAAGTAATGAGAATAGGGCAACAAACTGTTTTGAAATGTTTTTCAACAAAGACTAAATAAATTCATCCTGCCAACCACAAGTCTGTAAAAAATAGGCAGCTGTGCGCAAAATGGATTTTAATCAAACACAGATGAAATCACTATTTCAAAAGTATTCAAAGAGGTATTGTCTAGAATATATTAAAAAGTGTCACAATGTAAATGTTTATGCCTATATTATAACAATGCAAAATGCCACATAAACAAGTTATGTATGAACATATTTTTTTCTGATGCAGAAGCTCATTACAATTGAGATGTTGCTACATCAGGATGAATAGTTAGACTCTAATACCTGCTCTACTCTAGGAGTGTTACAGGCTTAGAACTCCTGAAGAAAGAGCCACAGTGAGGATGCCAGGATTGAAGCCACAGTGGAGATTGGCACAAACAATGCTCCACCAGCTTCTACAGGCGCTACGACAACCTGAACACTTACTTCACACATAGTAAATCAAACTCTCACACCCTGGAACTCTATTTTATCTCAAAAAGCATGCTTAGGTGAGAGAAGTGACATATAAAACTTGAATACCGTCGGGCTGCCCCTATTATGTGGTGAGATCTGAACATACTCTTCATCGTGGCCTTCTTAGATCATAAAGCAGCCTGGAGAAGTTATAATGAATAATATGATTTTTATGCAATGCTCATACTTTGCTCCGTGTTCCGTCTATGAAAAATACTAAAGACCAAGATTTATAACCTGGTAGAATTATGCTTTTGTACCTGTGAGAATAAGCACATCTGTCTGTTTAATATTTAACACTCTTTGTTAAAACCATGCACTGCTTATATATTGCTGCCTTTTCCTGACCACGGTATTCCTCTGCTGGCACCTTAAATTTTACTACCTCTGCTCTTTACAATCATTAATTTGGTTTTTCTTATCAAGGATATAGGAGAAGATACTGAGTGGGACAATTTTTTAAAAAAGGAATGCAAAATATATTAGTAATAGCTGAAAACAGTAAAAGAAACATGAAACAAATGAGGAGAAATATTATTGGTAAGATATTACAAAGATTATCATGATACATTTCAGGAATTTTTCCCATGATAAAAGATGACCTACCAGACAAGAAAGTGACAAATTAGTGACTAATTTTAATGATGCCTCATCACAGAGTTAAAGCCTTCGGGTATAAGGCAATAAGATGTGTATGTATTGGGCAGGGGTGCCGTGGAAGTCACAGAAACATGCTCCACCTAAAAACATAAGAATTATCTCAAGAAGCCTCTGCTGGTCCAAAGCAAAAAGGCTGCAGCCACCAGTGTTTGTGGATAATGCATTGTCTAATTTCCTGCCTTTTCCTGTTCATGTCCCCACAAACTGGGTAGAGGAAAATAGGTGAAGATGTAGAACCGGCTGAGTAGTTTGCCATTAGCTCTGACAGGGGAAAGAGGGAAGATCTGAACTTCCCGGCCAAAGGGAGATGGTAAGTTTCTGGGTGGGGTAAGCTTTGACACCATCCCTTCCATCGATTAGGAACAGAAATGAAGAAGGGGCTACAACATTTATGGTGCACAAATTACCCAAAGATCTGACCGAAATAGAAAGTGGCCCTTCCAAGCCAGGGCTAACATGAATGGCTTAACAGAATTGCTGACTCACTCCACTGAGTCAGGGAGAGCTACAGAGGGCTAAGCATGATGCAGCTAAGAGTGGAAGGAGAGTGGAAGGAGACTGGATGGAGCAGTACAGAGGCATGTCTGTCTCTGCATGTCTGAGACTCTAGAATTTAGTTGGACACACACCTGAGAGATGGCAGAACCATGGTCAGATGAAACTAAAAACTAAATACAAAACATGTACCCTGATTCCTCATAGGATTGTTGAACAGAGGTGGACAGAGAGGAAAGCCTCTTACAGAGGAGGAGGGCAACTGACCACAGGATGTGGGCAGGAACACTCCTCAGGAGGGAGGCCAGCAAACCCACTGGTTCAGGAGGCTACGAGTGACAGTTACAGGCCAGGCCAGAAGGAGGGCAGCCAGTGAGAAGTACTGAATGCCTTCTGAGGCGACCACATATTTGACAAGACAGCAGAAAGATCCGATGAGAAAGTCAGACTCCCAGAAGAAGAGCCTTTCGGGGGTAGAAATACGAAAGTTCAGACAAAGAGCTGGAATGTGGTGGTGGTGGTGGTGGGGGGGGGTGGTTATGGGAAAGAGTAGTCAAAACTATACCAACAAATAAGGAGCTGAAATAACACAGGTTAGAAGGGAAGAGGCAAGAAGTATGAAAGGAAGAAGGAAAAGGCAATTAACTGAGAAAAAGAAGACACTGCAGGGCATGCATCACTGTCTCGATTCCACATATTACGGTGATGGGAGGACATTTTAAATCCCTGGGTCCTTATAGGCAGCTCGATGCATCACTAATGTGCTCTGCTACATAGCTGTCCTAATCACGGCTAAAACGGCGGATGTCAATGAAGGTCACTGCCAGACTGGGCACTTTTTCAGGCAGCACAAATTAGCCTGCCGGAATCCAGCAGGCACAGACAGATTCCAAGCTACCACGCTATAAATCGACATAGAGCCAAAAACAATCAGAAATGCTTCAATCATCTCACAAATAATGAGGTGGACACAAATTTACGAGCCTGAGTTTCAAGAAAGTGAAGCAAGGTGGTGATAAAGATATTTTATCAGTGCTCTGCTATCAGCTATTTTTATTTTATTGCATATATTTAAATTATTTACATTTTTCACTTTTAGAGGTCTGCATTTTTCCAGTTCCAATTCAATTAGCTACATTGAGATATTCATATTCCCTTGACTGTTTTCATAATGCGTATTTTATTAATGATCTCAAATAATATGCAGTCCATCTTTAAAAGTCTCCTCCCTAGAGTCTTGTCAAATGTGAGATTAGCCAGACAGCCTCATCTTGAGAACTGAAAGTTAGTTTCCAGACCTCGGGTGCTATATTCTGACCACCTTGAAGACACAAGGGGCTGGTGAATAACTGGACATGCGGTGCTTCCGGAAGGTGCTCAGATGAACTGTATCTTGAATCTGATGCAAGTTTGAGTTTTTGTAAGAAGACAAGTTCTACCATAGATACATTTTTCTTCTCTGGAACAACGACACCCCTGAATTCACTTAAGGCACGGCATTTAATCACATCGAATTGTGCACGTCGAGGAGGTATGATTAGAGACCGAGTGCGTGGGAAAAAAACACGATCTTCCCTCACCAGAGCGATGTGGGTGTTCAGAAGGACCAGTGACTGCCACCGGTCACGGCCAGACGCACCCTGGACCCTCACTGTTGTGTACAGCAGTAACCGAACCTCTGCCAGAGACGGGATGTCGACTTCCATATTTCCATGAAGGAAGTAAATCATATCCACCAAGGTAGTCTGGAATCTGGATGACAACTGAACTCCGTTTGCCAAAACTAAACCAGGGATTTCTGCTTTCCAATCAAGAGAAAGCTGAACCAGATCTTGCTGGAGCAAAGGATGATTAGCATAGGCAGTGGCATCAGACTCGGGCATCAGGACACACAGGAGGTCACGACATAGCTGTTGAGTGAGGGTTTTGTTGTAACTGAATACAGTGAGTAGGAGAGGCTCTGCAGAGCTCAGGAATCGAATACTCTGTCCACCAAAGCCAATCTGGATCTCCTGAAGTCCCGAGAGAGGTAGAGCATGAAAGATGCTCATTGAGCCAGAGTGATTATCTGACAGGACCAGAGCATACAAAGCTGACCGAAGCAGCAGCAAACATGCTGGCTGGGGATCAGGTTCCATGCAGTTAGCAACAGCAAGCCAGTAAATACCTCTGACTTCATTCGTGTCGCTCAAAGGTTCTGGAAGAGAACAACTCACATGCTCAAGAAGATCTTTTAAAGGGCACTCCTGAAGTTGCAGCATTTGGTCTGGGAATTGCACGAGGGTCTGCTTAAATGCCGAGCTCTTTCTAGCATCTTCGTATTCAAGGCAGAAAACTGAGCTTGGCGAGGAACCTGGTAAACCTGCAGCTGCAAAGGCAGAGGCCTCGTATGGCGTGGCACACTCTGCGGGCCCAGGTCCCCTTGCCTCGTGGCTTTTGCTGCTGCCAGCATGAGCTTCAGGAAAAGAATGAGGTTCTGTCGACTGCACGTGGGACTTCCAGGGCACATCCGGGGCTAAGTGCTGCAGAAACGGCATTCTTCTGATGAATGTTGTCACACGGGAGGTGAGCCTACTTGGAGCACAAAGGCTGCCCACGAACCCGGCATGGCTGAGCACCTTTGTGCCAGCCTGGAGCAGGTGACTGCTGGTGTCTTTATAAAGATCTGAGAACTTGTGATAAAAATATCCCAGGCCATTGTTTCCTTCTATCCTGGTATTTATCAGTAACTCTAAAGAGCTAACCTTTTTAGCAGCTAACTCTTCCTCATCTTGCAGCTCACTGCAAAACTCAGAAGCCAGTCCACCCTGAGGAACACTGCCAGATGCCCTCTCCTCATGAGAAATGCTTTCAGAGAGAACAAAGGAGAGCACCTGGCTTTGCCTGGCCTGCTGGCTTCCACTATTTACAGAAACTTCTTGGGATGTACACTGCAGCAAAGTCCAACTGGACTGAATTTCTTTATGAGTCATCAGCTCAGTGAAACTCACTGAGTTGTCCTGAAAATCTTCTGCATCACCGCTATAGCTTTCATTAAGAGAAGAGATTTTGGGTAGAGTAAAACGTTTTGGTTCTAAATGGCCAGCACATTCAGGACAATGATATTTGCAACCACTGTCCTGCCATATCTCAGGCACTGAGGACTGATCCCTTCGCCAGTGGGTTCTCTCTTGTGATGCTGAGGAAGGAGTTTCAGGGCCTGAGATGCTCCGTGTCATGGGATGACCCCAGTGGTTGGTCCGATGCACCTTCCTCCTCTCCTCTCTAGTGGTGCTGGGAGTGTCGGTGGCATACCTGGGCAGAAGCAGGGCAAGACGCCGTGCCAGGCGAGACTGCCTTTTCTGTTCAAGGTGTCAAAAAAAGTTGAAATGGGAATGTGATATCACTTTCTGCGATTCTTTTGCATATGATGATTCTTGTAATCATTGGTTTCATTGGGGGTGATTAATTTGGAGGTTAAATCAAAAGCCTCAACCATTCACAGTTTTACATGATTTAAGAAGAGATGATCTGATTCACACACACAGCATCAATTTTCTGTATTATACTTTTTATAAATCACCAAGTCTTTTGATAGAAATACATTGTGTGGGATTGATGCACAGTATCCATTTCTTGGTCTCATATTTCATTTTCTCTAAAATAAATCCCAAGATCTTTGATTCAATGCTTAAAAGCTGCAATTTAATTCTGAAAATAAGTCCATAGTCGTATGTCCAAAGAAATCAGATGACAATCAGATGGCAAGGCCAAAAGAAATTTGCAAGTATTCTAACCCAGGTCATGTTTTTCTCTCCGTTTGGTTTGTTTCATGGGAATCCTTAATTATGTTTGCCCTGGTTAGATTATTGTTACTGTTATCTACAAACTATTGCCAGAGAAGGCTTACTGCATGCCTGCTAAGTGCCAGGCACTGCGGGCACAAACAAATGAAAGCCAAAGCCTTGGTCTACACGGGGTCCCCTGCTAAGGACATGGGTACCCAGAGGAAGATCGTGTCATTACTGAAGGACTGGCAGGAGTGGGTGGCTGCAGACAAAGCCAGTAAAGCCTACTGTGGAACAGCCGCCCTCTCGTTTTCTGTTTAATAATGTATGGACACCACCTGGAAGATCTCCACCACCTAGTAGTTTTTTGTTCTAGAGTATTTCTCAATTTAAGAATATACAGCAAGGACGTGCCCCTTCGTGGAGGAAAATACAAGTAAAATCTTTACAAACTGTATTCCCGAATAAACCTTGGTGTGACAATCCACCAGAGAAATAAGCTAATCAGTCAAGAGCAATTCCTTTGTACCACTGCCAACTCATGGTCTATAAAAGGAACAATGTTTCAAAAACATGGAGCAGTACTCAGTTTCACTTCCAAACCCCTTGTCTGATTCTGATTATATAATTCTGCCTTTTAAATGCAGACCAAAGGAAAGGATACTGTTACGAATGAAAAACTGGCAAAGCTCCACCACAGCTACGTGCCATTCAAATAAAGCCAAAGCAGTTCGGAGCTGCAGGATTCCGTTTAATTTTAAGTCCATATAATAGCTCGCCTTCCCTATTAGCCATTAATCTCACTGGGACTTCAAAATTCTAATTATGCAACTAAACATTAAGAAAATTTAATCACATGAGCATGCCATAATTTAAGACAACCCTATCAATCTGAAAAATCATTACCTACCTCATATTTTAGCTTACGTTGAATAGTGCCATTGTGGAGTTTCTCATTATCCTGAAAAGAAAATAAAAATTCCTCTATATTAAATTATAGCAAGTTCACAGAAGAGGGGGAAATGATTCGATTAGAAGTATTTATGGGAACAAAATTCTAAATAAACATACTTGTCATTAAACAATGACAACCCTTCTATATAATTTATATTCTCAAGGTAAACATGACTCTATGGATCCATTTGCCTGTGAGAAAACCAAACCATTTACCCCTAATCTTAAAATTTTAAGAATAATATTAAAAACAAGATGTTCTTAGGGCAGTTCTTAATTTGCAAGACAGAAATGAATTGTCCTTATTTTGACAAAAATCAACTTGTCACAAATATGTACCTTCTCAAAGGCAAAATTATATTTATACTTTGGATAATTTACAAAGCAAATTAAATACATATGGGAATTGGTAGTATTTTGGGAGAAACAGAAAAATGTTACATGTAGGATTTTTATAAATCAAAGTAAATAAAGCATTTTAGGAGAACTTATATTCACTTAAAAAGTTTTCCCAGAATGACAAAATTATAAAGTTACTCTTGAATTAATATTATCTGTAAACTGTTAAGCTCTGCTCAAGCAATATATAGTATTTTTTCTAGAATATTCCACATCTGAATTTTCTGACTGAAAAACAATAATAAAAGACCCTACCACTACCACTATCACCCTAATTTATCTGCAAGGTCATCTTGAAAAATAAATGAATGTATTACTTGATTATAAATCGACAATGTTCCTTCAGCTCACCTTTGCCATGTCTGTAGATGTACTGCTGTCTTCATCCATCACATGATGCAAATCCTGAAGACGTCTTTGCACTTCTTCTTCAATGTAGGCGTTGATCCTGGAAACAATGCAAATGGGTAAGTCTGGATGCTTCTAACCACACAGGACATTCTGAGAGCCTCTCTTTACCATGCTACTCACAAAATGGAGCTTTCTCGTTCTAAATGCCAAACGTAACAACCTGGGGCCTTAAACACTTTCCTCTCTTTCTTTTTTTGTTTTTAAGAAATCTAGGGCCACATGTTTACTATCTGGGTTTTCCCTAAACAAGACAGAACTGAATAAATAACAGAATATTGGGAATGAAAAGGAGATAAAGTGATCCCCACCCAAATCCTTTCTGGATTTGCTGGGGAAAAAATTTTCTGGGGAAAGCCACAGTCACGGAGTTCAGAAGGCTTCGTGGTCTCAGCTCTGACTCTGAAACAGAACAATTCATTCCCAGGGCCACCGTCTCATCACACAGAAAAGGATAATATAGAGGATAGTTATTTCTCACACTGAAAGGTTATTTATGAGGATTACAAAAAAAAAAGTAGGTGAATATACTATCTAGGAATCTTAATTATTCACACTGAACAAAGTCTAGCATTTTTGCATTGTTCCTGGTCCGTCTCATCTCTCCATGTTGGTTATCTGCACCTGGCCAGTGAGACCACATCTTAAAGGTCTCTACCTTCCAGAATGCCTGGCAGGGGAGTCAAGACAGAGTGGAAGTCAGAAACAGCTGACTTCTGAAGCAGTTGTCAACTGCTATCCCAAAAAATGTAGGTGGAGCTGTATGACATAAAATTGTCAACCTTAATCATCCCAGTGTGTTCAGCCCAATCTCTGGTCTATCTTTAGGTCATTCTACCGGGATGAACCAGAGAGACCAGAGAATTCTAGTTTCATCGAAAATCATTCTAGTGGCTTGGACTGCCCAAATGGAAGTCCTGTGCAGTTCTAGGCTCCCCTCCCCCAATTCTACAGACACTAGTTAGATAGATTATTTTTAATTAAATGGTTTCCATGTTTACATCCTAGCACTCTCACTAAATAAATATGTACATCTGTATAAACACATGCATAATGCTGCAAACGTGTGTACTACTAACCACAGAAAAACGATTTTCTAAAATCCTAGGTAAAGAGATCACTATTTTAGGTAGAATAGCTCAAATAAAGTACCATATTTACCTTTCAGTACTGAAAACAAAAACATGTGCAACTGAACATGAGCCAAAGACATTTACAAATTATCTCCTCTGATAGTCACTTAAATTTTAAACTAGCCCTATGGAAGATGTAGACCTAGATTTAAAGGGCTAGAGAGGCTCATGCCATTCTGAGTACATTTTAATATCCAAATATGTATCTCCTAATACCCAGGGTTCAGGACTGCCCAGTTTCAAATGTTCCCATAATATAGATGTGGTGGAGAAAAATAACACTTTCTATAGGCAAGGAATGATTAAGTTGATTTATCTAAGAGCTCTAAGCCACAGAGCAACTCACAATGCCATCTAAGTTGAAAATAAAAACTTTACCTATTTGTTATCAATGACATATAAATTGACTGTCAACACATGGTCCTTTTTCTTGGCACAATTCAACTAATTCTATGTCTTTGTTCTATTCAACCTGGTCCTGCATCATTTCATTCTGGATGAGCTTGTTTCCCTGGACCTTTTAATTCTACCTTGTCACACAAACTACAATTGACCCTTGAACAACAAAGTTTGAACTGCATGGGACCACTTACATGTGGCGTTTTTTCCCCAATAAACACAGCTGGCCCTTCCTATTGGCAGGTTCTGCATCTGCAGCCAAACCGTGGATCAAAAATACAGCATTCACAGGATGTGAAACCCAACTTTTCCTAACCTTGAGTTCTGCACTGACTTGAGTAGGCATGGATTTTGGTATCCAAGGGTGGTCCTGGAGCCAATCCACCTGCAAATACTGAGGGATGATTGTACTTGCACCAAGATTCCTTGGACCTGGCTGCCCAGTTCTCAATCCTTAACTTCCTTCAAATGACCTCTCACCCCACCACTCGCAGGGTGGCACCTGCCGAAGACAGAGCACATCTCAGACACACCTGTTACTTGCTGCCCCTTATAGAACCCTCCATATGCAAACTGGCCAAGACAGTACCGCGAGTCATTAAATCACACCGAATGAAAACCATGGAATCAGTGCAATGTCCAGTACCTGGCGTCCATCAGGGTGCCCAGGTGAGATTTTTCCGCACTGAATGGCAAGCCGGAACCAGGAGCCTTCCCCTCCAGGGTCCCATGATGATCTTTCTGAACACCATCAACCTCACAAATCTTCTGCTTCAGCTGCTGGATTTCATGCTCTAACCTATAGAGACGGGAGCCACATCATTCATTCACTGATAGTATTTCCTGAGCATCTTCACAGTGTGAGACACTGTTTTAGAAACCATGAGGACACAGACAAGAACTCCATATAGAAAGAGCTTTACCTTCCAGTAGAAAAGGTAATACATACCTACAACACCTTCTAGTAGAAAAGCTACCATATACTCATAGACAGGGTATAAGGTGATAATGGGCCACAAGAGAGGTCCAGGACAAGCACTGTAGGCATACAAAAATCAGAGACAGTTTGACCATACAAGCAAAGATATTCCCACTGTGCTCTAAGCAACTCCTCAGGGGCAGATGTGCAGGATTCTGAGTTCTCTAACTCCTGCTTCAACAAGAGTTGATCATGGACTACATATCAAGGTTCCACTGAATATTTCTGCTCAACAAAAGAGATCTGTGCTTTACAGAGTTTTTAAAAACTAGCTATCTAGGAAGAACTTCATAGTCAAAGAAGTTCTACATTGAGTCTTCAAAGGACAGCGAGAATGTGGGCATTTGGGGATGATGGTAGAAGATTATCAAGCGCAGAAAGCACTATGAGCAAAGGGGCTGTGTCACAAAAGCCTAGACTTCACTTTGGCTAAGGCAGAGGGTAGGGGGAGGGGAAGCAGATGAGACAGACCCGGAGGAGAAGGTTGATTCCATGAGAAATTAAAATAAAGCATAAACTGTGGAACCAAAAATTTATCTCCAGTGATACATGATACATCTGATATGAGGTCAAGGCAGTTCTCCTGCTCGCACTGGCATGCCTTAATCTGGTACCATCAGGCTAGGGGGCCAAGCCTGCTAGTAAACATGGCCCCAGGGAACTTCAGACTGCAGCCCACTTGCTGGATAAATTTGGGCAAGATATTTAAACCTCGGTCTCAATTGCTTCATGGATCAAATGAGAGTTAACTAATCTCTCCATTCCTTTAGCTCTAAAAATCAGAGATTCTTGCTTCAGATGCCGAAACACCAGGATGCTGCCAGCCCTCTGGTGTCACCAGTAGCAACCTGACTGCTCTATCCTGAACACAAACACCAAGTTCTTAACTCTCAGAGATGTGATCACAGGGTCACCAGGGGCAGGCACTCATGGGATCTGTAGGAGACAGTGCCCAGCTTCACTCAGCCTTTCTTCTGTCTACCGATTAGCTAGTACTTCCTGAACATCAACTTGCAGGACATACAGTATTTTCATAAGAGGAGGGAGTAAGTGACGAAGAATGATGTAAGGAGCCAGGCGGTATGCAGGCAGAGGATCAGGGGACAATATTAACAAGGTCTCAGCAATGGCCAGGAAAACCAGTAGGATGTGAGCAGGTCATTAGCAATTTTTATGTTTACAGTTCAGACTCCTGCAGGGGTTGTCGAGAGGTATATTACAGAGCAGGGGCAATGGAAAAGACTCCACAGAGCAAAGAAGGGGTTGAGTGGGGCTCTGAAGCCTGAATGAGATTCATATGGGTGGCAAGGGACAAGCAGGACATCCCCAAAAAAGCATTCCATGGGAGGAACTGGCCTGCCTATGTGGCAGCCACATGGCCGGTAGACAAGAGGGCAAAGTGGCTCAGAGCCAAGTGGTGAATGGGCCTGGACCTGGGTTGCAGCTCTGCCACTTTCTAACTATGTGACATTAGCCCCCAGTGGTTATACCAGCATTGCAGGCTTCAATTTTTCCATCTGTAAACTAGAGATGATGGCACTCTTAATTGGAAGAGTGAATGACAATGCACATATGGCATTTAAAACAGAGTTGAGTTACACAGGGTTAATCTTCACAGTTTACATTGTGACTATTACTATTATCATCATTATTATTAAAGAACTCAGATGAGATAATATCGTTAAATGTGGGTATTGACAGTTTGCCTGTTATCCCTGCCATAGGGACAGGGGTAGGGGAGGCTTTTCCAGTAGGCCTGCTTGATACATGTCAGTGGGGCAGCTGGAACAAGCAGGTGGTAGAAAAGGAGGTAATAAAAGGGATTAAACCTTGTTCACAAGGCACTGAGAAGCCAATGGGAAAGCCAAGTTCGGGCTAGTTATCCAATCTGGTCCCACATGAATTTAATATTTCACACTAGCAGAATTTCAAAAGGGGCCAAGTCAGGATGCAAGGTGGGTCCTGGCTTAGCCATGAGAACCCTGAGAGAAAATAAAATACAACACAACAGACATACCTACAGACAGCTGCAGGGGCATCACAGAGCAAAGAGCTTAGAATGTGTTGGCCTGAGTTAGGTCTTAGCAAAATTTACTCCATCTAAACTTCTGCAGTGAACAACCTGCTTTGTGTGGCTTCTGGAGGAATGCTGACATTGGGTAATCACTTCCATGGAAATTGCAATACTATTATAGAGTATTAATACTAAATGGCCGGTTGACAAAAGCTGGGGACATCAAGTTAAAAGCTCAGGCAGCATTCTTATTGAACACTGCAGGATACAAATTGAGAGCGTGCTCCCCACTACTTTAAATTTCCTGGGGCTGCAGCTTTGTCCAGCAATTTCATTTACATAACATACCTGCAATCATTTCTTAAATCTCCAACCTATTTCTCTGAAATAACAGCATTATGGTGTTTGATTGTTATTTGGTTGCTGTTTTGCCTAAGGGAATTACCAGAGAGCAAGTGAAAACATAAACCACACAATAAGCTGATCATTTGAAAGGAGGCTGTCCTGACCTTTGCAGGCAAGGTGATGGGCAGAGGTTTCAAGTGACACCTCTGAGACAGTCTTGCCTGCTCACCAGCAACTGACCCCATGCCCCTGCCAAATGCCAAGCCAGGGTCTTAGAGACCAGCAGACTGGACTTGTGTGGAAGCCCCCTTAGGAGGTGCTGTGGGTAAGAAGAGAGTAGAGTTCCAGGCCCTCTGACCTCAACAGACCAAAGGGTGTGGAGCTAAAAGAAAAATCACAGACTCCTGATCTCATCCACCGGCTTCTTGCACAGGTGAGGACACTGAGGCCCCCAAAGAGGCAAGATCCTGCCTAAGGTCATCCAGGCAGGAAGGGGCTGGGCCAGGGTATGAATACTCCTGGCAGGTCACCAACTGGGTAAGGTGTGCACACTAGGAAACCAGCATTCCTGGGGGCCTTTCCCTCCTGTCTGCAGGGCTCTGGAAAGGTGTTCTCAAATTCATGTACTCAGTCATTTTGAAAACATACTGTCCGGTAAGCATGGTGACAGGGAACAGGTGGGGAAAGGTAAACATTCTTATCTTACCACAAAAAGGGTGCTTGTTCCCCAATTTTATTTTTCATAACACCAAAAATATCAGTAAATCAACAAACGTGCTCGGATATCTCAATGTGTTTGGAGTGTGGTTTGTTGGTTTGGTTGGTTGTTTTTTAATGTAGAGGCCTGAGGCCTCCTCTCAAATACTATGACTCAACAAGGATGAGGAAGTATTGATTTTGAGTTCCCACCAGGTTTTGAGAATCAGTACATTATATGCAGCCCATGAGCTCTGGGAACCCACAAGTGCTAGTCACCAGGGAAGACGTGAAGCCACTGGTAAGGAGGGCAGGGGAGGAGGGCAGCAGGAAAAAAAAAATAGGGAGAGAAGGAAAGAGACAGGGAAGGTGAGGGGAGAGAGGAAGGGAGAAGGCAGGGCAGAATCAAGGTGGAAGCTATCTTAGTCTTTTGCATTTATCAAAATATTAAATACAACACACACATTCCACAGGTCAATGCAATGATGGACATGACCTTTGCTTTTGTCTATGTGTTTTGTTTTTTTTTTTCAACTTTAGGCCAATCATTCTAAAACAAGGATCCTAAGCAGAAATAAAAGAATGTTCGGGGTACTTTTCTCAGTGCTGGCAAAAATGAACATTTGCCTATGTATTAGAGAACAGAAAAGCTAAAAGAATCGCTTTTTAAAAAGGCAGTGAGAAACAGACCAATGGGGAGGGAAGGGCACAAAATGATCAGTCATTTGGCACCCACTGTATGCGGCCCCTCACCTCTCCCGGTCCTTCTCCAGGGCTTCCTGCTCAGCCTCCAGGCTGGCCCGGAGCCCCGACTGCTCTCGGCTGCTGCTGTGCAGAGTGGCCAGCTTCTGCCTCTGCTCCTCGATCTCCAGGCCCAGGGTGGAGCGCCGCTGCAGCGCCGAATGCCTCCTCTCCAGCCTGGCCACCGCCCGCTCCAGCGCCTCCCTCTGCTGCTTCTCCCGCGATTCCAGAATCTCCTTTTCCTTCTTCCTCACTTTCTCCTCCTGGCGCGCGATGTTGGCAGTGAATTCAAAGGTGGCTTGGAGCTTCTGCAGCTGGCTGGCGTTGGCCTGGTACTGTGCAAGCTGCTCTTCTTTTTCTTCGATTTCTTTTTCCACTTGATAAAGAGTGTTGTCTAAACTGAGCGGGCCGCTGTCGAGGATTTCAAACGCTCTCTGCTTTTCTTCCAACAGGGTCGGCAAATGGTTCTGCAGGAGGTACTGGAGCTGGCGCTCTTTATACTGCAGCCTGTACTCCGCCGGCTTTATTTTCTCTAAGTCTGGGGCCGCCGGGGTGACCGTGGGGGCGCCCTCGTCGCGTTTTCCCGGCAACCGGGACTCTTCCTTGTGGTCGCATTTTAAACGCTCCAGGGCCTCGTGCTCCTCTTCGACTTCCTTGCTCAGGAGGTCCTTCTGCTGAACCAGGTCCCTCTCCAAGCTCGCCAGCTTGACCAGCTGCCTTCTCTTGAACTCGAAGAAGTGCCGCTGCGCCTTCTCTAACTCCCCGGCGTCTCCGTCCCCGCCGGCGCCAGCCTCCTTGGCCCGCAGGAGCGACGCGCGGATGCCCTCCAGGTCGCGCTTCTCCCCCGCCACGCGCTGCACCTCCCCGCGCCGCAGCAGCCGGATCATCTCCTGCTTCTCCCGCAGCTGCTCCTCCAGGTGGGCCACCAGCATCACCTGCTCCTTCTCTTGCTCCTCCAGCCTCCTCTTCTCCAGCTCGAGCTTGGCGCACTGCTCGTCCTTCTCCCTCTGGAGCCGGCCCAGCTCCTGGAATATCTGGATCTTCTCGGCCTTCTCGTTGTCGTTGAGTTCCCGGAGCCGCTGGAGCTCTTCCTGGATGCGGAGGAAGCTCTCTTCCTCTTGTCTCTTCCTCTGCAGCTCGGTCTCCTGCTGCTCCCTCAGCCTCTCCTCTTCGAACTTCTCCTTCTCGGCGAGCAGGTCCTTCAGCTTGTTCTCGATGTGGAAGCTGCGGCGTTTGAGGCTCTCCTCCTGCCTGCGGATCTGCAGCTGCACGATTTCCGTCTCCTTGCGCCGCGTCTCCACCTCCTGCTGCATGCGCTCCAGCTCCGCCTTGTCCGACTTCTGCTTCTCCTCCATTTCTTCGATGAGTTTCCTGAAATGCAAAGTCCTGACTGATCATTATTTGAGCACGGTGTTCGAATGCTGCTCTGACTTCTCCCTAACTGAAATGTTCTCAAGATGCACATACAACATAAAGCCAAAAACGTCATTAAAATAAAAAAAAGAGAAGGAAGTGCTCCCCTTTAAAATTTTCAGCAGCTTCCTGTTTCATTTTGTTTTTACCCTTTTAACAGTCCAACGTATCATCTGCCTAAGTCTCCTGAAGCAGCCTCTGCTATCATTTCTTTGTAGAGCCTATAATCATAATGTGTTATGCATGATATAATTTAAAAAGCCCCCTGAGCTCAAAGAGAAAGAACCATGGCCAATTTAAATTTAAATGTGAATAATTTTATTCGGCCCAATGACCAAAACTCAACAGAAGTTCAGTTACGAGATGACATTAAATAAAAATGCTTATGCTGCCCTTAACTCATTGGGGTCAAATATCAAAGTCAAGATAATCAACAGTTCATTGTTCCAGCTCCAACAACTACATGCTATTTAGCATTTAATCACTAGTTTGGGACAAACGGTGATCACCAAATGGCCCCAAATATTAGTTTATTAGTGCATAACACTAAAAATAACTGGAGTCTCCATTAGAATACTCAGATGCATGATTCTAAGGGTTACATGTTACATTTTTCTCTTGAAAAGCAAATGATCTTCCCTGGGTGCTATGTCAAAGTTTCAGGCTTAGGATGGCCTCCAAATCAAGAACACAGAGTAAGAGTGCAGATAGGTGGCTTTCATCTCCTGACCCTCCAAACATCTCTCCTGTATGCTACATGAGTTTAAGTGAAAACTAAACTAATTCATTTGTGACTTTTAAACTCCAGATTCTAGAAAATAAATATCTAGTTTGCAGATTTTCTATGGCCTTAGTTTCTGTTCCAGTCTCCATCCTTGGTCCAGTTCTTAGCTTGTTAAATAGAACAGGAAAAAAAGAAAAGTAGAAAATAGGTTTTATCAGGCAAAGAATTATTTCAGAGCATATAAGGAACTCTCCAAATCGATTAAACAGCCAGACAAACACACACAGAAGAAAAGTGAGCAAAGAATATGAAGAGGAGAATTGTAGATGGGGAAATACAAATGGTCAAATAATATCATAAGGAAAATGTTTATAAGGAAGGGAAATTATCATTCTCTTGGCTTTTTAAAAACTCGGGATATTATTAAGAGAAAATATACATTTGAATTAAATTTAAACAAATATATATTTGATATATTCAATTTAATCAGTGTATTCAATTTGCATACTGAGTCTATTCCCCCTTTCTCACAAATATTTGAAGATGAACAGTTAAAAAAAAAATAAACATGAGATTTTAAAACCAAGAGTTAAAAAGAAATGACGTATAGACATAAGACATGTAAATAACAGATAAGGAGCAAGAGGGAAGTACTGAGACAGACACATATGAATTCGGTCCAGGATATTGATAAAGGAATCCGCAAGCTACATGAGTGTTGAAACTCGAACCCCACATGGCTTACCTTTTACTTTCCAATTTTTCAAGTTCTTCACGCTGTTGCCTCTCAAATTCAAGTCTAATAAAATCAAATGAAAATGAGTCACTTCTCTGAAAGAGCTTTTCCCTCTCTCTCTCTCTGTATGTAGAATTATATATTACAAAAAGCATCAGTTTTTCAACTATTATTTTTAATTACCATCGATTAGCAAATTTAAAATGTATTCTTTGCTCTATGACTATGATTAGAAATTAGACATACTTTTGGGTGCTTGAACTAAGACTGAAAAGAACAGATTTTACTTGACAGAAAACAAACAAAAATACTATTGAAAAAGCAAAGTTAAATGAGACTTCTAAATGATAAGCATGTCTACTCCATGCAGCTTAGTCACTGATGAATATATAAAAACGGAATCTCTACCTTAGACAGATGGGTCCTTTTACAGGGAAAAGACTGTCAGGGAGGTAGAGAAAGAGCACAGACATCAATTAAGAAAAAAATTTAACAGGAGGAAACACAAGGAGAAAAGCAGTAAGGTACTTAACAGCTAACAGCCATGTACAACTTGAAACATCTTTTTGTAAATATCACTTTTCCCACTAATTTCATGAAACAAATACTCCAAAAAGGTAGCTCTGTTATGTTTTACACATAATACTGATAAAAATTACATACCAATAATTAAAAATAATAGTCTAAGTCATATTTTTACTACCTTATATATAGTTATACTGCACACAGGTTCATCAAGACCTTCTATAAGTAGTAATGTAATACAGGAGTTACTGAGGGTCATGAGATGGTGAAAAGATTTACCACAGTGTTTGCAGAATAAAAGGATCTAGGTCATTGGGAATTTCAAAACAACTCACTAAAATATTGATAAAGCAAGCTGATTTCTTCTCAAATATCAGATTTAATTATTGCAAGGTTTCACTATTGCTATTAAACAGCATGAACGATAATTCTTAAACATTTCCCTGTTGTTGCAGAAGAGCAGCTATAGCTAAAGAGCTGAACTATGGAAAAATTTACCATAAACCCTTCTCTGTGGGTAATGTGTAAACCCAGACTGGCAACAGAGTTGCTTAACAATTAGCTAATGAATATTTCAAATAGCTCTCTTTCCAACTTAATTTGGGCTAATAATGAGATTAAGATGTCTGGTGGCTTTCATAAACAGAACAGAGGTACCTATTGCTTGGCAGGTACTGTGATGAGTGATTTATACATGTTATCTCCCTTTGTCCACCCAGCAAACTCTGCAGGTAGCAAACAGTACCTCCACCTTACAGATGAGGAATCCCAAGGTTCAGATATGTTAAACAACTTGCCCATGGTCATAGTGCTAACACGTGGCAGAGCCAGGATTTGAAACTATGATAGCCTGCTCCCAGAATTCCTATTAACTCATTTTATGAGCAATGTTCAAATTTGTGATATAAAACAAAAGTATTAAATCCTTCACTGAAACTTGTTAATTAGGCTTCTATGTATCCTACTGCCAAATGAAAATAATCTGTAGCTTATTATAGACATTGTCATCTATGAGAAATCAGTCCCATAAATGTATATGAAAAGTATTTACCAGTTATGGAGGCTAGCCCATATGTCATTACATTAAGTAGGTTTAGGACTTCATTAAAATTAATATGTAACAATTCTCTTTTATTTAACTATAAATAGAACCTTGGAGAAATTTTCAAGCTGATATCTTCATACTTCAGTATAGACTTATATACAGTCTTTCTAGAGATATTTACATAGCTAAAAGGAGTCGTTGGATAAAATATTTTTTTTAAGAGATGGGGTCTCACTCTGTCATCCAGGCTGAAGTACAGTGGCATCAAGGCTCACTGTAGCCTCGAACTTCTGAGCTCAAGCAATCCTCTTGCCTCAGCCTCCTGAGTAGCAGGGACTACAAGTGCATGCCTCCACTCCCAGTTAATTTTTAATTTTTTGTAGAGATAGGAGGTCGCTATGTTGCCCAGGCTGGTCTTAAACTCCTGGCCTACTCTGCTAAATATTATACATATACTAATTACACTTTAAAATGTTTCTCTTTCAATAATCAATAATCAGTGATACTTATTTTAGATATAAAACCACAGTAGATTGTAAAATATAAATATGAAAAGTGTCAGTATCAAGGAAAGAATATCAACGATAATTGTACTTGGATGTGGCTTCATTTTAAAGTAAGTGTAATTCACTATCTCGCTTTACTGGAATTATCATGGCCTTGAACACTAACTTCCCAAAGGTAATAAGTAAAAAGAAAACCACAAAAGGATGTAATTTTTGGAGCAGTTTATAGCATTTTAAAGTGACATTTGGAAGTATTCATAGTTCCAAATGTGTTAGTTCAACAAAAAAACATAGCACAAAACCTATTTTTATGAGAAACAGCCTTCGTTTTGCATTAAAAGACATCTAGCATTTTAGGTATAACCACATATCTTGCAATTAATGTACCTGTTATCATTGAGAATGAAAAAGCGACAGAGTGGGAATTTCTCAGGTTACACCATTACATTGAAAGTGAAACTGTGATGGGTGGATGGATAAAAGGTAGGATGGATGGATGGATGGATGGAAGGAAGGAAGGAAAATTTAAATAAACTGAAAGCATACATATCTGCATCCTTCTATTGTCCTAATGGTATCTGTTTTGCACCTATCATGTCATTTCACTTTCTAAAAGGAAGATGGTGACCCAGGCCCAGCCAACACCTACGCGGGCAATTATGACCGGCCAGTGAGCCAGGAAGGTAATGGCAGCTGAGTTCCAGACTACAACATGCTGGGAAGGAAGATCCCACCTGGCAACAGAGGTGGGCTGAGGCAGTCTTACTGGTAAAGTCCCCAACATGAATGTTTTACCCTGTTGTCTTAGTAGGTATACAATCAATCAGATAAGGAAAAAATTCTTGGTCAATGGGTAGGCCAAAATTTTTCCTAAGTGATTTTTAAGTTACAGTCAAATATAAGGATGGTTCCATGGGCATATGGTGGCCCGTGCAGCTACACAGGGCCTGAGCTCAGACAGGCCCCGCACTTGAAACTCTGCTGTCATTTTTAATGATATTTGAACAAGACACCCCACATTTTCACTATGTACTGGACCCTGCAAGGCATGTGTCATTTTTGGAAGCACTCCTGGCCTGTTGCCTAAAATGCTTGGTGGGGTTTCTCAGTCCATATTCTGGTAGGAACTAGAAAAGGACTAGAACCCAGTGGAAGAGGTTTCACCTTTCCCTGATCCTTCACAAGGGCCTGGGTTCTGGCTGCAGTGGGTTCTACAATGCTTTAGATCAAAACAACTGACCTTCTCACCACCCTATCACTCCTCGGAAACTTTTAGCTAGTCTCAAATCACCTGACCAACCGAGCAAATACTAAGGAGATTGGGGTATTTTAAAGACTGAAGAGAAATTTTAGATTTGAGTATTGGGTTTGTGCTGGACCTATCCAACCTTCTTCCTGATGTTGAGAACCCTAACATTCTAGATGTTCTTTGAAGAATAAGCAGAAAGCAGATATTCCCCTGGGGTAGGTTCAGGGAAACTGATGAAAGAATCCAGCCATTCATTCGCATCTTTGACTCTACCTGGAAAGGCCTTGAAGTCTTTCCTAGGTGTGTCAGCCCTCAGGTGAACTTTCGTTAGAATGCTAAGAACAGTACCTTGTAGACACAATTGGAGTTTCTACACCACTAACTCTCCCCTCATCCCTTTTTCAAATCAATGTCAGGTTATCCTACAGTAGACGGACTTAACATACAACAATTCAAGGTGTGTATGTATATCAAGATGGGGGTGAGGTGAAATGGCAAGAAGTCGCACATGCAATTTAATCTAGAAGGTTGTGAAATTAAACCCTCTAAAATAAAAGACAGAGTTTATAACATAAATACCCAAAACACTCTGGGAATGGTTTTCTAATAAACTTTCAAATCCCTGGTCTAGAAAGTATTCTGTTAAATTTTTCAAAAAGCCAGCCTTAAGCCTTTTTAGTATTGCAAATGGAAAGTGCCCAAAGAAATAATGATTGCTTTAAAAAAATAGTAAAATTTGAAAGCCATAAGCATTTTCAGTAGGTTTCTCCCCAGCCTATTTTTTCTCATAACAGTGATACACTGTGCTCTAAAAATGATGGCCAAGACCACAGGTGTTAAACTCAGAAACTTTCCTGATCAAGCCAGAAGATCACAGGCAGTCTGAACTGGATGGGAACTCAAGTGATCCTATATTCAACTCAGCACCCACCCTTACATCCTGCCCCCTCTCTCCCTCTTACTTTTCAGTCCAGGAGACTGAGGCCCACAGACTATGAGAGAAAGGCCCAGTGTGACTTCTTCTTTAGAAGATCCAGAAGTCAAGCCCACCTCTTACAACTCCTCATCCATCTACCTTAGAATTGTTTCACTTCCTCAACCAAACCATAGTACCTTTTAGCCCACCAATAGCCTCCCAAAAGTGAAAAATAATCCATCATTCCAAAAAATAACTCTTCCTATTGGACAAACCAGAAGAGTGTACCACGGGCAGTTTTCCTGCCACTTCACTCAGCCCCATGCATTCTACACACACAGCTAACCTCGCCAAGCTCCAGCGAGATTCAAAGCAGGACTGTCAGGAGAATGAAGAATGGACAAAGTGCCCTTGGGCACCCCTGAGAGAGGGAATGATAGCAAAAGAAACCGTGCACATATATTGATACACAGAACGTGATGAGCCCAACAAGAAAGGCACATTATCGACAGGGGATGGGGCGGAGTGAGAACATTTACAGCTGCAGGGATGACAGGAGGCCTCACAGAGGAGGTTTTGTCTGATCTGGGCCTTGACAGATGAACAGAATTATGATGGGCGTAGGGTGGGGCAAATCCAGCAGAAGAAAAATAGGAAGAGAAGAGACAATTAGGAGGAAGCTGTGTAGAGGCTCGCCTGGCTAGTACTTAGATGAAATAAAGGGAAGTGATGAGAAGTAAAACCAGGATGTTAGACAGTGGGTAGAAAGTCCAAGGTCCAGCCGACACATGCTTGGGGGCACCTTCCTGGGCAAGCTTCCCTTCCCCCAGCCTGTGCAGCCTCACATCATGGGGGTAGGGTGGGGATGGGAGTGGTAAGCACTGCTAAGTCAGCAAAAATAAAAAAATCGAAACCATTGCCCTCATCTGTCCTAGAGTTGGGAGCAGCTAGCTGATAAATAACGAGTATGTTACATGATAAGTGCTATGAAAAATCATAAAGCTGGGTAAGAGAATGGATTGAGAAGGGACATTCAGGAGAAGGCTGCATGAAGAAAGGGAGTGACCCCGAGGATGTGTCTGGTGCTGACACGAGGGAGGAGTCAAAGAGAGACCAGGAAATGACATGGGCCATGCACTGGGAGCACAACAAGATGGCATGGTGAGAAAAGACGAAGCCAAGGAGAACGGCAAGCGAAGA